CGGAAACCATGCTGCATGCTGCCGGAGATCAGCCTGATCAGTCTGTGGCTGCATCGATCTCCGAAGACGCTAGGGAGTTTGAGGTTGGTTAGATCTTTGTATGCCTCCGCTTTTTTTTTTTCAAAAAAATTAAAAGAAAAACCCATTTTCATACTAAGATTTAAATCACCTGAAAAATACTCCAAAACTCTTTAATCGGATGGAGTTTGGTCATTAGTTTTAGGCTACTCCTTTTGGACCAAAATTCATTGGATTAATTATGAGACAAGTTGACATGTGTTACTTTCTTGGGATTCTAGCTAGTTAATTAGACCATCGGCTATCGTAAGGAATCAATTTCTCATAGCACTCTCTTGGAAGATCACTAGCAGAAGGGAAGGCGAAAAAGGAAAACAGAGGATGTGATGAAAAATATAACGTTGTGATTGAGAGATTGCCAAAGATATCAATTAGCCCCTTAATCCTTTCATACTTTTAATTAGTAGTTTATCTTCCACCTCCGTTCCGTTCGAATTTGGAAAAGCAAGGGAGAAATCAAATATTGGTAGGAGACAAATGGAAAGTGATTTCCCACCTCTCTTCAATTTCAATCTCCCTACCCCTCCTTGCTAGCTAGTCATCTCCATCCAAAGAGGCTGTAAAGGTGAGGGCATTAATTACTAGGGTATCAAAGTCCAAATCAGTGAAACTTTTGACAGGCTTTTATATCATTTTCTCCTCTAAAAGAGGCAACCAAACACGTCCTTGTCTTAGAAATTGAATTTCCTTATCTATTTTCCGATTATTGAATGTTCTAAAGTAGTGTTGTCGTACATCCATTCTATTATAGGTATTTGATAAATTGCAAATAGGACTCCTTTTGCTCCTTATTTGCTCAATAGCATTTATTACCTCTCAACTCTCATTATTAGCATTTATCGCTAGCTATACTTGTAACCCCACTAACTGTTTATTTTTAATAACACCTATCGTCTCATGAGGGATATGGCAGTTAGCTGCAATTCAAAACCATGACAATATTTATCTTGTGTACGTACTTTTTTTTCTTTACTTTTGGATATTTCTTTCTTTTAAGCTTATTATATGCGTACTGTTTGTTTTATTGTGGCTGCGTTTTTTTGGCAATTAGCTCAAGTAGTGTAAGTTTATTTAAATTTCGGATTAATTGAATTTACTATCCCTCTGATTTTTGTTTTTACGGAAAACCCCATGAACGAATTACTTTTACTATTTATTCAAGAGGTCTATTTGTTATTAGAAAAAACCTCTTCCTCTAGCAGTGGAAAAGCCAAAAAAAAAAATTTCACTCAATAGGTCTATTTGCAAAAGTAGAATTATAGATATCAAACTTCAAACAGTGATACTAAGGGGATCTATCTGCAATTAACGTTTATTAAGTATGTTGTGATTTATTTATGAACCGCACATGTTATCAATTAATATCAGCGGTTTAACGAATAATGATAGATAGGATAAGATATTAATTGCGTATATAAAACGGTCACGAAAGATCACGTTCCTTTTGAATATGGATCATATGACGTGAAAAAGAGACGTCGCTTTTATTTTATTTTATTTTATTTTATTTATTTTGATAACTCAGTAACATTGGGTAACGCTTCTTGATTCATATAATAATATTAGTTTATTTTGCTTGTTGTGTAGAAGTCAGACTAGTAAAGTCAATGAACCTGCAATTATTCTTCGTGCTGATCTTTAGCCTTTAGTAGGTACTTATTTCTCATGGCTAGAGGAGGAAATGAAGGAGGTTGAATGGAACTCTTGAAATTTGTATGATAAATATTCAAAAGGAAATCATATTCTTTTCACTACAAAATAAATAAATAAAATAATGGATGATTGCGATTTATTTTTAATTATAAATTAAAAGTACAAGAGCTATATTTAATGTAATGGTGTCAATCCTATCAAGAAAGTAAATTTCTGATGATACAAGAAAGTAAATTTCTGATGATATATAGAAAGTTTAGTTATATTTGCTCTCTGGAAAAACGCCCTCACACTTAAAAAGACACTCTTAAACTTGTCAAAATAATAATAATAATAATAATAACAATAATACAGTGAAAATGCCCAATACTTGGAAGAATCAATGTAACTGCTCTCAAGTTTGCAAAAATCAAGCTGAAAATTCTCTCATCTTTTTATGTCATGCATGTATGGTATGCACTGCGGTACTAGTATTATATTAAAAAATTAGAGAGAAGGTAAATTAGTAGGGATTTCTTAATTATTTTATGTTGGGTATCAACTCAAACTTCAAGTTGGATGCGGGTTTGAAGGCTAGGCCCAATCTTAGTAGTTTTTCGTAGAGGCCAAGTTAACTTGACGGACAAGTCACGGGTGTCTTTAAATAATGCCTCATATTCTAGGATTTAGTGTAGAGAGAAGGAGAGAGATAATATTCTTGTAATCAAGGTTTTAGAGGGTGTAACCGGGTTCAATGGTATTGTGAGAGAGAGGGTTTGGCAGTCTTTGTCCGTGCAAAAGATTATAATTTGGAGGTGATAGTGGATTGATTTTGATTCCGTGGTTTTTCTCTGTTGAGGGTTTTCCACGTTAAATTTTGTGTGATTTTTTTTTGTTACGTTTGGTGGCTTTTCGGGGTTTTTGCGAGATCTAAAAATCCCAACAAGTGGTATCAGAGCGGGGTTCGACGGTTCGTAGAGGTTTGATCGGTGCGCGATTCGTGAAGGCGTCAGCGGTCGAATCACAGTGTTCGACATCGGCAAAAAAAAGTTACTGTAGCGACAGCACGGTAGCAGGGGTACTGTTCACACAGATCCGACGGTTGAGATTAATTTGTATTTTGATCGAGGATTTGAAGGCGGATTTTGGTGATCCAAGAGTCGTTCCTAAGGTTTTTCGACATGCTGGGTTCGTTTTTGACGTCGGTTTTATCAAATTTAATCTCTACAGTGACTGATTTGAATTTTGATTGTGGTTAGAGGATGACTTCTTTAGGTCCGAAGTTCGATATCCCGCCATTCAATGATAAGACAAATTTTACAGTATGGCAGTGCACGGTTCAAGATATTCTTGTGCAGCAGGGTGTTGATCAAGCTTTGGAGGAGAAGAAACCTGAAGGATTGAATGATGCTGAATGGAGTTCCATGCAAAAGAGGATGGTTAGCACAATTCGTTTGGCACTCGTCCCCGAGATCAAATATAATGTTATGCAAGAGACCACACCAAGGGGGCTGTGGGAAAGGCTCGAGAGGATTTATGCGTCAAGGTCGATGACCAACCAATTGTGTTTGAGGATGAAGCTTTATTCGTTAAAGATGGAAGAAGGTAATGCAATTCAAGATCACATCAATACCTTTAATCAGCTAGTTTGCCAACTTATGAATATTTATGAGGAGATTAAAAAAAAGAGCAAGTGCTACTCCTATTGTCGTTGTTACCGAAGTCGTACAAACCATTAGTTCAAACGATAATTGCAAAGAAGCAGACTTTGAAGTTCGACGATGTGACACCACTCTTACGTGAGAATGAAAGAATAATGGGAAAGGAGAGCGCATCTAAAGGTGGTAAGAGCGCACTAGCTTTTAAAGGTTCTAATCGAGGGAGGAGTAAGGGGAGATGTGACAGTTATCGAGGAAGGTCAAAATCTCGAGCCCGAGACGACAGCGAAAAGGAATGCTATTATTACGGAGAGAATGGTCACATTCAGTTCAGATGTTCCCAGATGCGTGATGATTTGAAGAGTATTAGACAGATGAAGCTTTAAGAAAATAGGAATAATGCGAACTCCTCAGTGATTGTGTGTGATGAAGATGTGATGTTATTGATGCAGAGTATAGGTACTGATGCAAGTAACACCTGGGTGTTAGATTCTGCAGCCTTTATGCACGTTTGCAACAACAAAAATTATTTTAACACATTAAAGACAGACGAAGAATTTGACGACGTGATTGTTGGAAACAACGAGAAGATGAAGGTTGAAGGTGTTGGAAGTGCTCGCCACAAGCTTCACACTGGGAAGGTCGGAATTCTTCATCATGTGAGATATGTGCCAACATGTGGTGCTAATTTAATTTTGTTAGGTGAGATGGCATCGCGTGGGTACAAGTATGTGGGTAAAGGAGAGTGGTGTAAAGTGTATAAAGATGGTGATTTGATTTTGTGAGGGAGGAAGAATAGCAATCATATTTGCTATTTAGATGGACGATCCGTTAATAGTGTAGATTACTCTTCTCAGACTTTTGTCCACAAGGGAGAGGTGAAGAACAAGATGAAGAGAGTGAGTTTTTCTGAAGCCGATGAGACACTTGGAGATTTTTCGTTGAGGGAGGATATGTTGGGTACCAACTCAAACTCCAAATCGGATACGGGTTTGAATGCTAGGCTCAATCCTAGTAGTTTTCGTAAAGACCAAGTTAACTTGGCGGGCAAGTCAGGGGTGTCTTTAAACAAGGCCTCCTATTCTAGGGTTTAGAGTAGAGAGAAGGAGAGAGACAATATTCTTGTAATCAAGGTTTTAGAGGGTGTACCCGGGTTCAAGGGTATTGTGAGAGAGAGGGTTTGACAGGCTTTGTATGTGCAACAGATTGTAATTTGGAGGTGATAGTGAATTGATTTTGACCCTGTGGTTTTTCTCTATTGAGGGTTTTCCACGTTAAATTTTGTGTGATTTTATTTGTTGTGTTTGGTGGCTTTTCGAGGTTTTTGCGAGATCCAAAAATCCCAACATTTTCATTGCCTAAATCTTTAATATTTTGAAATCAATCCCTCAAATCGTTGAAAAATATAAGCAGTTCCCCCAATAATGCTTAAACTATTTTTAAATTAGTCCTTCAAGTTATTAAATTTGTTATTAGGTCCCCAATTCTTATGATATTTCCAAATTTGTCCCCCAATTCAACTAGGAATTTCAATAATTTAAGGGAATAATTTTATTTCAATGATTTGAGAGACTACTGAAAATATGTAAGAATTAAGGGACTAATATCGGAAAAGACAAATTGCTAAAATAAAGAATTAATTAAACTAAGAACTAATTCAAGGTCTATTAGGATAATTTAATAGATTTAAGGATGTAATTAAAAACAACTCATAGATTTGAAGATGTATTAGAAAAAAATAGGGTTTAAGTTGACAGAAACCTTTAACTGCACTCCACTATTTTAAACTACTCCCTTCACGAGTCATCAATTTTGAAAAAGCTCAAAATGTTGGAGCTCACGCTTTTCTCTCATATAGTTATCAGTGCTCATAATTCTATACTTTGGTTACAGATCTCTTGGTTTACCCCCACACACTTGTCTCTAGTATTAGTGATGGAAATGAACCAAATAATTATAAATAGTTTGATAATTTTTCGAATAACTATCCGGTCATATTCGATTCGATAGTTCATTTACCACTAAATAAATATTTTTTAGTATTCGAGTTTACTAACGATAGAATTTAACTAGATGTATATTCGATTCGTTTGTCTATCATATATTCTATTCGAGTTTACTAACGAATAGAATTTAACCAGATGTATCATTGCACATATGATGTCATATTTTTAACCCACTTACCATTTCTACTTAAGTTCTATATACTGATTTTAAGACTTACATAATCTTACATCTGATTTTTAATTAAAATTTTAACTTAAATATATAAACATCATATATTATAAAAGAATAATTTTTATTTATGAATTTTAATACTGTTTGAAAATCAAATTCTTTAGCGAAATAAATGTACTTTGATATTCAATAAATATTTGTGAATATTCATATATATTTATCAAAATCCAAGTATTCCAGTTCGAATTCGAAAATCTAAATATATGAATATTAGAGTCCGCATTCGAATTCGTTAATTTTAAACAAATACAAATACAAACACCTTAATATTCATTCCATTCGATCGATTACTACCCGTACTAATACATATTTGGTTCGCTCAATCAGTACACTGATACTAAGAGAGAAGAGGAAGAAGAAGGTATAGTCTGTAGCCCCGCCAACTACGTCCCCCTAACTCCCCTCAGCTTTCTCGAGCGCGCCGCCATCGTCTGCTCTGATCGCCCTGCTGTAATCTACGGCTCTCGTACGTACACGTGGAGGGAAACCCATGGACGTTGCCTCCGCCTCGCGTCCGCCCTCACCCAATTGGGGATATCTCGCCAAGATGTTGTAAGATCCTCTCTATCTCTTGTTTGTAATTTTTTTTTGTTGATAATTTTTGGAGTTTTGGGTTTTTTTAAAGAATATTTTGATTTGTTAGCTTTTGCGTGTGTATTAAGGGGCAATGTGATTCACTATGAAGAAAACTGAATTGTGGAGAAAAAGAAACTAATATGTGCTTCTGTAAATAGTTTGTTTTTGTTGTGGTTTAGTTTGCCATTTTCTTTCTCGGTCTTGTTTGTCTCATTAATTTCAATGCTAGTTTTCTTTTTGGCTAAATAGCACTTATATACACTACTATTTCATCTGCTTCTCTTAAACCCCCACTTGTATTTGGTAGCAAAAAAAAAAAAAATACCCTAAAGGCCTAAAGTTTTTTAAACTCGCACTTATTTACCCTCACTTAATTTTGATAGCACTCATATACCCTAAAGTTTTTAAATTTAACACTTATAAGGCCCTAAAGTTTTTATAACATTTAGAGCAGCAATGTATTGGTCACTCTGAACGGCTACCTGTTTGGTTTTCTCGAGTCAGGTCGCCGTTCTTGCGCCCAACGTCCCTGCAACATACGAGCTCCACTTCAGCGTTCCAATGGCTGGCGCTCCCGACAAGACTCAGCCATGCTGTCCGTCCTACTGAAGCACTCCGGGGCCAAAGTCCTCTTCGTCGACAGCCAGTTGCTTGAAAAAGCCCAAGGCGCACTCGAGCTTCTTTCCCAATCCAACGCAAGCCCTCCTCTGCTGGTGGTAATCTCAGAACCAGGATCACCGACTCCTTCAACTGACATCGACTATGAGAATCTCATCACGAATGCCGACCCACAGTTTGACATCAGATGGCCAGTTGATGAATGTGAGCCTATATCCATAAACTACACTTCAGGTACCACATCCAAACCGAAAGGTGTCATTTACACTCATCGAGGAGCGTACCTGAACGCCATCGCGACAGTTCTCATGCATGAAATTACGTCAATGCCAGTGTATCTATGGACAGTACCGATGTTTCACTGCAACGGTTGGTGCCTTGCTTGGGGCGTCGCAGCTCAGGGTGGGACCAACATCTGCATCCGAAAAGTCACAGCCAAGGTCATCTTCAGTAGCATCTCTCTGCACAAGGTGACGCACATGGGCGGTGCACCAACAGTTCTGAACTCCATCGTGAACTCGCCAGCTGGCGACCGGAAACCACTTCCCCATAAAGTAGCGTTGATGACCGGGGGTTCTTCGCCCCCACCTCAGGTTCTGTTCCAGATAGAGGAGCTGGGGTTTACAGTCATCCACATCTATGGACTCACTGAGACCTACGGTCCAGCGACGGCTTGTACATGGAAGCCAGAGTGGGACTCTTTACCGGCAGAAGAAAAGGCGAGGACAAAATCTCGTCAGGGGCTTCATCATTCCGGGATCGAAATGGATGTGAAGGATCCAGTTACGATGAAGAGTGTTCCGCAAGACGGTAAGACGATGGGCGAGGTGATGTTCAGAGGAAACACAGTGATGGCTGGGTATTATAAAGATAGGGAGGCGACTGCTGAGGCTTTAGCTGGTGGCTGGTTTCGGTCTGGAGATTTGGCAGTTAGACATGATGATGGGTATATACAGCTGAAGGACCGATCCAAGGACATTGTGATTTCAGGTGGGGAGAATATAAGCACGATCGAGGTAGAGTCTGTGCTTTTTGGGCATCCAGCGATCCTTGAGGCGGCAGTCATTGCAAGGCCTGACGAGCACTGGGGTGAGACGCCCTGTGCTTTTGTGAAGCTGAAGGAGGGGTGTAGTGCAAGCGAAGAGGAGATAGTGAAGTACTGTCGCGATTCGCTGCCTCATTATATGGCGCCGAAGACAGTTGTTTTCGAGGACATACCGAAGACTTCAACAGGGAAAGTGCAGAAGTATGTGTTGAGGGAGAAAGCAAAGGCAATGGGAAGTATTTCTCAGACTAATGGTGCTCCAAAAATTTGATTTGTTTATGGCTATATTTTCTTTATTTGTTGTTTTTTCCCCTAAATATTAGATGATGGGATTTGTTGAAAGTCTACGAACCGAGCTGAGAGTTTTCTGTACATGGGAGAGGATACAAACTCTGAAAGTGAATAACCAGATTGTTGTCTTTCTCCATCTGTACATGGGAGTTGTAGTTAATTGAGTTGTAATTTCTTGTTTAAGTAGTCATTTAATAGTCGGTTACTTTTTCTTTTTTGCTAGTTACACATCTGGAACCTGTGATTTCCAACTCACGTTCTCCATTCTCACTAACATAGTCATTTACATAGGCACAAACATCCAGCGGGAAGGACATTTGTGCATTCCGTAACGGCCAACACAATTAGGGGTGGCCATTTATGGTCCGACCCGCTAATCAGACCCGACCTGACTCATTGTAAATGGGTATGGGTCATTTTACATGGGTCGGGTCACAAGCGGGTCAACCCAAGGACACAATTTATTAATCGGGTTGTAGACAAGTCAACCCACCGACCCAATTAACTTTCACCCATTTATCAATCAACTCTTAACATTCAAAATTTATAAAAACACACCCATAAAATATGAAAATTTTGTAATTTACAGAAAACGTCCTTAAGAGATTCGAAAATTAAAAAACATCCACAAAAGTTCAAATTTACCAAAAATTATGAAAATATCAAAACTTACAAAACAGTACAAACATGTATAAATTATAAACAACACAATGAAAATTTGAAATTTATAAAAAATACCCAAAAAATTTAAAAATTGCACGTAGCGCCCCCCACACCCCCCCCCCCAAAAAAAAGTAAAATTTATGAAAACACAGCCCATAAATATCAAAACCTATAAACAGTATAAAATCTAAAACTTGTAAACAACACCATAAAATTTTTTGAAGTTTGCACAAAACACCCTGATAGTTTCAAAAGTTGCAAAGAATGGCCTTAATAAGTCAAATTTTACAAAAACACACCCCTAAAAAATAAAAACCTATAAATAACTTCACAATCTATAACTCATAAATAGCAAGATGAAAATTTTGAAATTCGCAAGAAACACCCAAAATAAGTCAAATTTTTAAAAAACTGAAAAGTTGAAATGCATGAACAGTGGAAAAATTAAATCGATAAATTACAAAAACCCCGTTTGAAAGTTAAGAGTTTGCAAAAAAAAAAACCCGAAGCACTTGAAAAATTACAAAATACACACTCAAAAGTCAAACTTATACAGAATCATGTCCCGAAAATATCAGAACTTACAAAGGTACAAAATTTATAAGCTATAAGCAGCAAAATAATTTTTTTTTTTAAATTTGCAAAAAAACCTTAAAAGTTTAAAAATTGCAAAATAAACCCTCAAAAAGTCAAACTATTATAGAAACATGCACCAGAAACAATAAAATTTTTAAGAAGTACAATATCTATAAGTTATAAACAGCAGCGTGAAAATTTTAAAATTTGCAGAAAAGACCCTAAAAGTTTAAAAATCGCAAAATACACCATCTAAAAAGTCAAATTTTATAGAAACACACCGCATAAAGATCAAAACTTATAAATAGTACAAAACCTATAACTTACAACTAGCAACGTGAAAATTATAAAATTTGCAACAAACACCCTAAAGGTTCTAAAATTGCAGAATACACGTTAGAAAGTCAAATTTTACAGAAATAAATGCCAAAAATATGAAAACTTACAAAAAGTATAAAATCTACAGCTTATAAAAAGCAACGTGAAAATTTTGGTATTTGAAAAAAACACCCTAAAAATTCAAATTTTAAAAATAACTAAAAGTCAAAATCTACAAAGGGCATAAAGATTATATTTGAAAAAACACCCTAACAACTTGAAAAATTAAAAAACACCCTAAAAATTCAAATTTTAGAAAATAACTCAAAAGTCAAAACCTACAAAGGGTATAAAGCTTATAAATCAGAAAAATTCCAATGAGAAAATCATAATTGCAGAAAGCACCCTAAAACTTTTAAATTTTATAAAAAATACCCACATATTTTAACTTTTACAAAAAACACCCTAAAAATCTAAACTTCTAAACAGTAACAAAACTTATGAATAATAAATAGGATCATAAAAAAGTTGACCATGGACTCTATGGTAAGTACATGAAAATTTTAAAATAATTATGGGTCACTTGGGTTGGTGGGTAACCCGTTTAATAAACAGGTTGAACCAATTATTTGATGGGTCAGGTAAAGTCGATATTATATGGGATGAGTCAAAATTTATATGGGTTGAGTCGGATCGGGTCGACCCGTTTGCCACCCCTAGATTTACACAATTTGCCCTTTGCTTTCAGAAGTTAGCGCGTTACGGCTGATTGGTTTCTACAAACAAAGCCGCAATTACTAAAAAAATTTACCACCTTAAATTAAATTCTGCAAACAAAGCCGCAATTACTAAAAAAAATTTACCACCTTTACTTAAATTCTGTCACGTAAAGCATGGGGAAAAAAGAGGATAGGATCAATTATATATTGTCATGCTGTATGGTAAGGATGACACTAGAGTTTGTGTATCTATATACACGAAAAATCCTGAGATTACTCCCCAGAATTTGACGGCAGATAACACAGATTGTTCTTTTTGCTGATTCTTGCTGATTTGGACACGTTGTTAAATGTTGGTTAATGTTATGGTTACAGCAAGGGTTCTAATCAGATGTGGGATTAGAATTAGCGTTATAGCGAAGATTATTAACTAAAGTTTCATTGTGTTATAATCCTAACCTTAACTCCAAAAGTCAGTTTGCTATGACCCTAACCATAACCCTAATCATAGCCCTAGCCGTAACCCCAACATAACCAACATCCGTTAACAACTCCAAATCAGCTAAAAATAATGGCATTAACATGCCATTAGGTTTCAAATTACTTTTGTAATTACAATCACTAATCTTAAGATTGCCCATGTAAATATACAGACTTTAGGGTCACCTACATTAACTACACCATACTCTAGTGTACCGGAATGTAATTAATTTAAAACGATAAAAATGATTCACAGCAAAAATAATCAACATAACATGGGATGCTCAAAAGCTAATCGCACTCGAGACCTCAAAAATGGTGATTTATTATCTATAACTTGACATTATAATTGTAACGAACATGAATAGTACAAATTTTTTCACTGAATACATGATAATTTGGACAATCTGGCTGATGTTTTAAGGTTCAAACTTTAGCAAATGATTATATTAACATTTGTCACAAAAATACAAGATACAAAACCCTGCAGCGGGAAAAACTCAAACTGTAGAATAGGGGTGGGTTCTCCAAGGGAATAAGTAATTAAGAAGACCTTCATCCATTAAAAACATCAGAAGTACCTGTGCCAGGATTGAAATGCAACTGTGGCCATCTGCTCCATGACTTTGATGAGGCTAAAGCTTTCATTTTTTCTGAAGATAAGGCTTAATTGATTCTAACACAACCTACAACAGTAACAACAAATTTCAACCTGATATCATTTGAAAACCAAAGAAACAATACACAAGTAAATGGAAACATAACAGCTTTTACACAGTTCTAGTATGTCGCCAAAGAGTTGGCAGAATCAAATTCAAGAATGGTTATAAACCATATTAGTAAGAGCATATAAAAGAAGAGGACTTCAAGCAGATCTAAAATCTTTATTACATCCTTTTTCCTTATCAATACTTGACCATTCTTGAGTAAGTAGGAATAATGTCTTAACTAGCAAAAAAAAATGCCGGAGCAACGTCTATGTCCTAATTCCAATAGATTACATTAGCCAAAAATGGTGTCAAAGCACACATCCCCATCTTTTTTCATTACCAATACCGACCATTCTTGAGTAAGTAGGACAATAATGTCTTAACTAGCAAAAAAATGCCGGAGTAATGTCTATGTCCTAAGTCCAATAGATTACATCAGCCAAAAAATGTGTCACCACAAAGCACACATCCCCCATTACCAGACACATCTTTCAAGTAACATTATGAAAATTATCATGACCGCTACTACTATGGATCAATAGAACTAAAATAAATACATTTAACACAGCACTATGACCGTCGTTAATGTCCAATGAAAATTGTGCAACAAACGGGAGCAACCGTAAGGGGGATATTTTGCAAAGACATGATGATATCATTTGATAAGCATGTATTATATATCTGTATAGTATAATAAAAGTAATCCTTTGAAGCAAAAATCCTACAAAATCAAAATAGCCAAACTAACTATACAGTCTATACACTAAAGTTTCCGGAATCAAATACAAGAAAAGCCTCTTACCCGCCCATCATATGACAGTGATGCAAATACTGTTGGATTCCTAGAGCTCCATGCAAGACCTAGCGTTATGGACCAGAAGTTATATTCCAATTTTCATCGTAAAATTGCTCAATGAAAATAATTAAGAAATTAAAATTACCATAAACACTATCCTCATAGTCACTGTATGAACTGAGTAGTGGATCCATCTGACTTGTTGACGAGTCTACTAGACTGAGGAAGTACAAATAAAAAAAATTATGAAATGAGGTACTCAATTAGAAAAACTTAACAATAAAGACTAGAGGAATGTGAAGATAGAGCATACAACCCTTCATTTCTTGCATCCTGGTTTCCAGTAGAAGCAGCCAGCCAGAGATTAACAGCTGAATCCGTTCCAGCACTCTACAAAGTTTAGCCCTTATTAGTGAAATATAAAACTGGTCACCAGAATAGATTCACAAACGAGCTTGTTTCCCATGTTATTCGATTCACTTATATAAGCATGCCTAGAACTTATTGATAAACAATAAAAGCCATATAACAAAATTTTGAGATAGACAGACCAAAATCAGCTGATCATACTCCGGATTATGCCGTACAGCCCAGGTCCTGAAAAATTGTACAGATAAACATCAGGCATACAATATTTTGGTGTAGCAGTAAACAAAACTGATGAGAGCTACATCAGTAATTCCACAGGCATGCAAACAGAAACATCAAATGATATGTAAAGCTAGTAGCATGCTAGCGAAAATCTGATGTTTACATACAGAAGAATTCATGTCTGTAGCCTTACAGTAGAATAAGAGGAAATACCAATGTGTATGCCCAGGGAACTCCTCAACAGGAAGCTTAGGCATTCTAAGGTCCCATAAGCGCAACCCAGATTCATCTTCAGCGGTAACCTATATGATATCAAAAAAGGGTTTTAGCATGCAATTGAAGGAAATTAAGTAAATTTCAACATATTCAATGCAACAACTAACAACTAATAATTAGAAGGTATTGACATACTGAAATGTCTCAAACTGTTCTAGACATTCTCCTCTCTTAAATAAATCATGGTGACTCAAGAAATTTCTTTCATACATGTGATATAGTAACTTGCTTATATTTTCTCTTGATTCTTGATTCACACAGTTAAAAGCATACTTACAAGGATGTGCTGCTGCTTGGGGTTGTAATCTACATCCCGAACATGATTGTGCTCAATTGGATTAGACTTCCTAAGCATATATAGTCCAATTGTCAGCAAGGGAATCAAATTTTCAAGCACATATGTATTACTTGCAGAATAGAGGATTTAGAGAAGAAACATGACCAAAAAGAGTGAAAAAAGTTGATAGAAATGATGCACATGCAGTGCTTGCAGACATAGAGGTATTATACATCTTTTCCACATAATGGTTGCAAAAGTAGACGATGATACCTGTAACCTGTCTCACAAAATGATATATTGGCATAGATACATAACAAAGAAAAATTCTTGAAAGGAACAGGTTCTCAAGGAAAGGTAATCATATCATGGTAACTAAATTTGACTGTCAAAATGAATATGGATGATTTTTTAAAGATTGCTAGAGGTCGACTTTTAATTATTCGTATTACTACTACTACTACTACTATTATTATTATTATTATTATTATTGTTTTGTTCATTTGATAAGAGCTTACATCACCTGGTGCACATTACTATTTGCAAGCTATGGATGATCAGCCAATACCAATGCACATTGGCTATAGTATATAAGACTGACAATCTGATCCAACCAAAACTAATTAATCCCAGTGATATGGTAACAACTATAAGCATTTGAGGTTTGAACTGCAAAAAGATGATTTGATAATGTTAGTAGTATAATACCATTGAAAAATAAACATATATGATTTATCAATGAACATAAATACTGATATGTATAAATCCAGAACTATGGAGCCACTAAATTTTCGATATTGAACTTCATTATATGTTTAATTTTCAACCAAGAACTAAGATCGTTATGGACTTCAGTGGTGATGACATAAAATGTTTCACTTTTCAATCTGAAAAGTACTTCGCAAATAAACTATCTGAAACTAAAATAGAAAAAAATTCCCCCCAATTGATGAAACCAGAAATCTTGCTTACTTCCTTATTCACCCTAACCTTTTCATATTTCTATATACACACCTATAATCATAGAAGTTAGTTCCCAAACACCCCTCTCCTCAATTGATCACTGCTTATTTCTAATAAACAAGGGAAAATAGATAAATTTATCCTCATTTCATCATCTTCTTTTTCCACCTCCCTTGATCACCGCCATCTCCTCCTTTAGCTCTTAGCCAAAGCCGAGTCAACAAAGCCCAAATGGAACTTAAACCACAGCCTCACCATCACCCTAAGTCCATGCCCCATATTCAGGCCCACATGAAGACCATCGGCCTCGTTATTCATCCTTCCCCTTAATCTGTCACCTCAGTTTCTTTGCCATTGCGTACACCAGACTCCTTGCCAACATCAGCCATCTCTTGATCCATTTCTCCAATGCCAAAAATCAAATTTCCAACATGATGATCAAAGGTTGTACTGAATCAAGCTGCACCACTATTTGGATCTCTCTCTTTTCTTGAGCTCATATTCATTGAAATAGAGAACTGGACAACCGCATCTCATGCTAGAAAAGCCCGGGTAGTCTGCATCAAATATAAATGAAGAAATGAAGAAAATGTAAATGAGACAAATGAAGATGAATAGATTTCCGGGAGAGAGGTAAGAGATAAAATGCTATCTGGGACTTTGACGGCTTAGTTAGAATAGATATGAAGCAAGCTGAAGATGAGCATAATTGCAACTTTTCAAGCAACTATGGGAGGACCAAGTTCAAGAAAAAAAAATATTCCCTCGTAGAATGCATCAAATTATAAACGAACAAATGAAGACAATATAAATGAGACAGTGAAGATGAATAGATTTCTGGGAGAAAGGTAAAGTAAGATATATCAGATGCTATTTGGGACTTTGATGGTTTTACATAGAATAGATAGGATGAAAGGAAATTGAAGATAAAGATAGTTAGAACTTTTTCTATCAACTATGGGGACTGAGTTCAATAAAGAAAATAGTTCATGCATAATCTAATTGAGGGACTGAGAAACCAATGGGAACTTTTTTCTTTAATCCAATTTATATGATTAAAAGTGTGAATATGATGGTGAATAAGGAACTAAGAAAGTTTTCAGGTGCATAAACCCAGTACAGAAAAGAGAGAGACAAAAAACCTACAGTTCAGTGCTCCATGTATAATAACTAAAATATATTTACCGTATACTACATTACACAGAGGAGGAACCAGTTTTATCGTTGATCTTTTTCTTAGTTTCAAGCTCTCGACTCATTGTATTTTGATTAGGTGGGACATATCTTCCTGTGCTTTTCACATACATTTTGATAAATTGATTTAACTTCACACAGTTAAAATAATAGAAGCACTGTATATTTGCTGCCAACTTTGGCAGATTAAGAAAATTGTAAATCTTACTCATAAGACACAAAACACAGAGGGAAAAAACAAAGTTATTGAGCGTTCATTGGACCTAAGGAGCGGAGTCCCCAGCCAGAAACATAAGACTCAGATTTTCAACACAAAAAATGATACACAAAAATGTGGGTCTTAAATCTTACAAAACCTTGCAATTAGTGGACAATCACAAACACTGTGTTCTAACTCATGGTGTCATATCATAGTTCTCCAAAATTCAGTCGTAAGAACATGGATACTCTGAGATACTCAGTATTTCATAGGAGTAGAAATTTATTAATTTTTTTGAGTCAATGATTGTTGAAGAGAGAAATGAGAAGTCCACAAAGAAGAGCCTCTAACAACTAATATATAACAATTAATTTCAGTGACCCAAATTATTTCATGTATAGTTTTCATGTGAGTAAAGGTTAAACATCTGTAACTATCAAACAAGAGTCCAAGACAGGTGTACTAATGTGCCATGTCTAATAAAGATGGAAACACCAACTTTCAGTGGGAAGAATTGTTAAATATCATAGAGAATTTCACTTTCAGAATACCAAGATTCATCAATATCCATTATATAAGTATTAATTCATTATAAAGAGGGTTTACATATGGAATTAAGAGACTCGGATATTGTATCCCAAAGCATTAGCAATGATATGATGTTCCTAACATGTCTTCAGCTATTGATATAATGAGTATATATAATTAAAATTTAAAAGAGTCCTTTCAAGTCATAAATGAGTAAATATGCAGAAACAGATAACATATCAATTGATCAAGTATTAACAACTGTATAGCACAAAATGTCTAATGGACATGGACATGTAAATACTAGCGAAACAAAAGAACCCACAGACACAAATTCCAAATAACCATACAAAAATATGTATGCAGGTATATGCCAAGTGTTCATTTAGGCAAACATAATAAACTGCCGATTGGATAAAATGTACAAACTTTTTATAACCATAACATGGTGGCATTCATCTTATGATGGAGTAAGTATTTTCTAATTAGAACATCCCAACAAAAAAAATCCATAAAAGAAGCCTCCTATTAGTTACGCTTATTAGTGCAAGTTCAAAGATCAACAAGATATCAAGCACTGACAATAGTGCAGTACGGAAAAATCAGTTTATGAAAATATCAGATAGTGAATGGGATAAAAAAGATGAAATTGTACTTCATTGAACGGAGGTCCCAACATTGAAGTGCCGAGTCACATATTGCAGCAATTGCATTCTGGTCATGCGGATCCCATGCACCCCCAGATAAGTTATGAAGCATACCAACAGATTCTTGAGATATTACCTACATCTTACAAGCTTGTATAAGAATTCACAGAAAATTTTATAAATCTAGGAGCTCAGTAACGGAAATAGTGACAATAAAAGCAGCAGCAGCAGCGGTAGCAAGAGCACCAAAGTCTTTATACTACATTGTTGAGACTAAGAGACGAGACTGTCAAGTATCCTATGTCTCCATGCAGCTCTATTAATTTATTTTTATATTATTTTGTCCTTAAAACAAACAACTACAATATCTTTTTAAACTGACTTAACCAGGTGCATTGTGGTCAGCCCTAGAAGCTCCTAGACTTACGTGATTTTCAGCCATCAATGCAATCTATATCTGATTGCTTTTTTTCACTTTAGCCACAATTGCATTTCTTATCTAGGAAGAATATCATTAATGAACAAGCTAAAACCTGATGCTGGAAGTGTCTAATCAAACATATTACTGCAAGGTACGTTGTCGCCAATATCGCAAGTTAGCACAATGCATCGACATAAATCGATTACTACTTCCAAAATGTGTTCTATTTAACACTTGATTTTATAATTAAGCATTGGTTCTAAGTTTGGCATTGTGTAAACAAAGCATTTTTTACGGATTAAACAAATAAACAGCCATTACTAACTTGGTGTCTGGTTGCCACACGTTAGGACCTTATTTAGAATGCGTAAGCAGAGGCTATAAGCGAAAAGGAATGACCTCTTTCAGAAGAGGATGCTAATCAGCTTCTTTCATTCCCCCATTTCTGTTCTCCTTTCTCTGCACATCTGGGTATCCAGTTCAAATCACCAACTCATTATCTTGTATCTCTTGGATTCTTTCCTATCTGAATACTCCGTTAGTTTAAGTTTGTCTCTTAGCTATGCTCATCCGAAGTCTTCCAAAACATCAATGTTAGATTTATCCAACACTGAAGCAAGTAAATGGACACCTATTTTGTAAGCACTTAGACATTTAAAAACTGAAACAGAATCAGTTTAAGAGAAATTATTTCGATAGATGCTTTTCACAGGGAACTGCCTGTAAGCAAAGTGACACTATTCCATAGAATTGAGTACAATCTTCCATAAAATCCATCATTTTTACCCCTCCTTTAGATTAATTACTGGTCTAAGAGAATTTTAGGAACTTTCTCCTTTGGATCCACAATCATAAACTGTTTGACAATTACCCTAAGTTTCTCTAGCCACCTAGCTTTCAAGAATTAATGTCAAGAACCAAGCTTCCAATTTCCACATCAGAAATTTGATAGACACCCAAGGTACTAAATCTATGGTTGCAGAGGATAGGTCATAGCTTTCAAGAAATACAAATTTCATCAGCATTGTCATTGTCATTGTCATTGTCTCATCATCACAGCAATGTGACTCATGATCCAACTTCACCCTACAGGAAAGCTAATATGAATTGCACGACGTGACTTTATGGAATGAATCAGCACGGTTAACCAAGCTCCCAAGCAAGAGTGTTGTTCAAGTACAAGAATTGTAATGAATTAAACTTTCTGGAGTAAGTATCCATGTGCCTGCTGGCACTATATCCCTTAGCAGCATATGGAAATTTCAGGTACGAAGTCTAGATTGTGTCTACTTAGAGCATAGATTTGCCCCATTACAATGTCATGCTTTAATTTTTTTTTTAAATCACTCATATGAATGAAAAAATAAACTAATTTGTGGATGTCTCATCAGTACAATAAAATTGTTTCCATCACTTTTAAGTACAAGCAAGTTCATGGATATTTCCTAAAAGATCCAAAACCTTGGCAAAGCAACAAATATGTTACAAGGTGAATTTTTTTGAATAACAAGATAAGAGTCGATGACTTCTCTGTACAGATGTATTTAATGACAGAAATTCTATCGTTATTCGGTTTGAGTTGTGTAAATCATGATCAACAATGTGTGGTTCTAATTAATGTGCTGCGCCATCATTTTGCATGCCATTTAAATTAATAAGACAACCATTTCTCTGCAACAAACTTACTATACTCATGAGAAGTCCCTGAACAAAGAATAGCACAGAAGAACCAAATAAAATGCGGCTGTTCTGAGAATCAAGCATCCACATACTACATCTAGAAAGTAGAAACTTTAAAAATAAGAGTGATTTGCAAAGTTCACAGAGAAGCTTTTAGCTGTATTGTTTGAGGAATCATGTTTCGTACCTTAGCCACCTTGGTTGAAGAATCTATGTTCCACAGCAATAGATTTCCCTCATCAATGCTAATCAATTTGTCATGTTTTCCCAGTGGCCACCAAAGGATGCTACAACAAATAATTAACAATAATCAAAACTTTACAGCAAATACAAAAACTAGGTTAACTTTTTTCCCCTTCAAGATCAATAATGAAAATACTAGCCCATTCCAAAATAAGGATCATGCTTAAACTTTAAAGATATTATGAATTTAACTAAGAAATATCCAGCAAGAGTCAATGCCAGAGGTAAACAACAAACTTTGTAAGAGCAACAATTTTGAAATTGTAAAGAACGACAATGACGCCTCCATCCCAATTTGCCAGCAACATGAATTATATTCTTCCATTAGTTCTACTGAGAATTCCTAGTTCATTAAATAAACAATATCCATATCCTTCTCTTCCAATAAGTTTTCTCAGGTCCACCTTCACTCGTCTTTATCCCATTGACGATAATCTTATCACTTCTCGTAACTGTGCATTTACTTGCCATTAGTTGAACATGGCCAACCCATCTTAATTGATTCTCTCGCATTTTATTTCAATAGGAGGGGAACAACTTCTAGTGGATGCATTCATTTCTTCTTGTAACTTTCGTTATACATCCACAGATCCATTGTGACATTCTCATTTTCTACACTCAGTTTCTGCACATGTCTCGTAACAGCCTAATATTCTCATCCATGAAGCATCGTTGGCTTTCTAATTGTTCAGAACTCCTCTTACAATTTTATAGATATTCTGATAGGTAAAAGCACTTTAATCCTCTTGATTTAATTCTGTGAACTACACCATCCGCATTTACATTAAATGAACCTAATATCTTCAAAGTGATTACTTCCATTCCTACATATTTCTTAGTTGTCACTATGTACTATAGCTCATCCTTGTTCACAGCTCAACTAAAACTACTCTTGATATTTGCTTTGTTATTCTTTACTATTTTCAAATCCTTTAAATTTAAGAGTTTCACTCCACCTTTTTACTTTAGAGATTATTTTTCTTCAATCAACACCTAATACAATGCTATCAACAAATAACACACATCACTAGACTTCATCTTGAATATGTTAGTTCATAACTAATGCAAAAAAATAAGCTTAAATCTTATTCTTGGTGCAAACATATGGTAAAAGGAAATGGTCGATATACATGTCAGATAATTGTTTCTTTTGTAAGACACCGCATTATCTCCCTTGCATTCTACAGTTTTGTAAACAAAATGAATGGAAGTATGAATTTAACATATATCAACAATTTAGTGAAGGTGAAGGATCACTTACTGGAACAAGCAATAAAAGATTTTATGTCCCTCTATTGCCTCTCATTTAATTCCTTTGTGGTGTGTGTGGGTGTATGTGTATTTCTGTGACGTGTGTGAGAGAAAGAATAACTATGTATGTGTGGTTGCATATTTCTGGGGCTTACTATGACCAACTGAAGTGGTGTCCTATGATGCACGGATACGGATACGGGACACGAATACGACACGGACACAGATACGACAAAATCCAAAAAAATAGGATACAGGGATACGGCAAGGAATTTTTTTAAAATTATTATTATATATAGAAAATTTATAAAATTCAACTAACAATCTATCGCAAAATAACAAGTTTGTAAACAAAAAGTACCTCAAGATGAAGTGAAAGCTAGTCCGATGACTTCTTCATTGCCTTCATTATAAGCAAACAATACGGCCTCCGTGGTGGGTTCATCAAGAGACAAGGTTGCGACATCAAGAATTCCGGCATCCTGAAATGAGTTGAATGCATCTCCACCAATATCCCACAGCTTCGATTCTCCTTGATATTCTTGGGATGACCGAGAAAGCAAAGGAAGATTGCTATGCACATACACAAGATCTTCTGCCCTTGTCGATATCATCTTGTTCCTCTTCAAAGAGTGAATGAATGAGTATGTACTCGAATTCCTTTCGCAGCAAGAGGATGAGCAGGGTTAGCCCAGAAGCTTTAAGGCCAATGCTTGTAGATTTGGAGCTGAGGATCCATAGAGCACCCACCATGGTTTTGGATCCATCAATCCTCTATCAACAAGAAGCTTTAAGGCCAATGCTTATAGATTTGGAGCTGAGGATCCATAGAGCACCCACCATGGTTTTGGATCCATCAATCCTCTATCAGCAAGAGCATCTGGATCACTAAAAGTGTCAAGAGCGGCCGAGAATCTAGCATATTCCAAGTTAACCGCCCTCCGTTCATCGACATTAGGATAATATCTCCTCAGACACTTGAACCTTTTCGAAGAGATCTCCTCATCCTGATGGAGTGCTTGCCGATGGATATTCTCATTGAGTCATGTCTCATGATAATATCTATTAAAATTTAACATTGAATTAGCCATTATTAATAAAAATAATCACATCAAAAATAATGAATTAATAACATAATCTAAATTATTACCTTGGATTCAAAGAGTGCGCCAAGCAGTGAAGTGGCGTGTTTCTCTTATTCCATCTATCCACCAAGATCTTGTGTACGACATCATAAAATGAGGAGGGATCATTTTTTATTTTGCCCTCGTGTCTATAAATAACAACATTCACATTCTCAATCATTGTATCCCACATATCATATACCAAATGAAGGTTGGGCTTGTCGGTATCAGTGAGCCGGATCATATCATATATAGGAGCAGTGAAAGCAATAATATAATCCACCCTATCCCACCACAAATCATCAAGCACTTTCTCTTTAATAAACTGTGCTTTTCCCACATCATCATCTCTGTACAAACTCCAACGGTCGCTAAGAACCATATCTTGGAGGCTTCTCTTGATCACTATGAACCTCTTTAGCATGATGATCCATGAAGCAAATCGGGTATCAGCAATTGAAAGAAGCTTTATCTTCGGATGATCATTGAACATAGCCAACCTCACTGAGTGATTCATGATGAAGTTCTTAATCATCAAAGCATCATCGGATACCTCTGTAATCCAACATCACTCTGCATAAGCAATTGCATTAGCCTCTGTATTCTTCGCAACAGATATTCTTAAGGGCTAGATTTAGAGTGTGAACAACACATGGAGTCTATAAGATGTGTGGAAATTTACCCTCCATAACTGCCCCTGTGACCTTGCATGCCGAAGCGTAATCAGTAATGATTTGGATCACATTTTGAGGCCTCACCTCTCTAATGCAATCTTCAAGCTTCTCTGCAATGAAATATATATTCTTCTGCTCTCCCTCGG